CATGTTGTGATTCGTCTGCTTGCAAAACAGTTGACAGCTGCGTGACTGCACTTGACTCATGTGGATGTGTTTCTTCGGGATGAGGGTGAGTCTCCATGTCATCAACACGTGACGGACGACAGTCAGCTGCAGAAGGCGACATGTATTCACTGGGTGCAGGAAGCTCCGAAGAAGGTCGCTCCTCTGAGGCTCTTGCAGCCGTTGAGGGCTCAGCCATCGGTTCAATGACCACTGATGGCGAAGTTGGAGAATAGTTGGAATCTAGCTCTAAGGCAGGCCTCTCAGCGTGTCCATCACCACTACTGCCAAGGGTCACAAAGCAATCAGGATGCTCTCGCCGGTTGGCGTCCAATCTCACCGTAGTCTTCAACAAACGGGCAGTAGGGTCTTCTCGCTTTCTCTTCGTCTCACGATCTTCACCTTCAGGATCGCGAGATCCGTCGTCGAACGTCCACCTTCGGGAGGAGTTCGCCCAGGTGGAGGATGGTTTGGAGGTCGAGGCCGACCATCATCTCCACCATCTGCATTCTCATCGTCGCCGCCATAGCCACCCGGATTGTTGAAGGGTGGTCCATCCAGATGCTCCAGTAGGAGTCGTAGAGGAAGACGATGGGTCGCCAGAGAGAGGGTCAGGTGACCTCCTGGCGCCGTGATCAGCTCATTTGCAAACCATGCTCCATTGTGACCACGATGCACCATGTAGTCACCATGGTAGGAAATCACCGCTCGGCGCTTCCGCATGTCGCGAGCCCCAAGCAACAATGGAGTCATCTCCGCACCACCGTCAAGGAGGTAGAAGCTCAACCAACCAAGAGCTGGAGTGTGTAGCCAGACCTTGGACACCGCTCTTTGAGATTCGCCGTTCCCAAACTTGAACCGAGGCCTCTCGGAGATGTTGACCTCATAGGTGAACAAGTGGGAGTCCAGGACCTTGGCCATCGCACGAATCCCAGCAACCGACTCCGTTGCCCCACTTTCCAGGACAACCTTAGACGTTCCAAGGCTCTCCAAATCAGTCTGGTCGAAGAGGCTCATGACGTAGACCTCAGGAACCCATTCAGCTTCAGCGAAGAAAGTCTTTCCTTTCTTGCCCTTCGAGCCTCCTTTGCCCTTGCCTTTTCCACGGCCACCAAATGAAGAGCTCCTCGACGAAGATGGAGATGCACCTTTCTTCCCACCTTTGGACCAGCGGTCAGGGCACTTCAGATACCCGTGACCGGGCTGACCGCAGATGAAGCACGGTCCGAAGCCACCTCCAACACCTTTGCCCTTGCCAGATGCTGGCCCTTTTCTCTTCCCTTTGCCGCCACCAAGGCTTCCAGGATGTCCTTTCGTGCCCGTAGGATCAAAATAACCCCGCGCAGCACGGACACGAGCAACAGCCTGTCTTGCTTCGGCCAATGTCTTGTTGGCCTCCGTGGCCAATGCAAAGGCTTCTTCAACCCGCTGCTCGTTCTCGAGCTCCTCATTCGTCTTCTCCTCCGGCTCCTCCGGGTAGTAGTCATTCTCCTGGATGTAGTCCTCATAGGAACCACCATCATCCCACGAAGTTGGACTCCATGAAGGGCTCCAGTCATTCCAGAAGATGTCCTCGCTCCACCAGCTTGGATCTTCACTCCACCAATCATCTTCCAGCCCCCAATCTTCACCTTCATCGGCCGCATACCAGACAGAGCGTCTTGGCATCCTTCCAGGATCGTCAGCCTGGTCAGCACCATCCGAAAATAGTGATCGTAAAGCTTGCCTGATCTGGGTGAAGTGGGTCGAGTTCTTCGTCAGTGTGAGGACATGCTGACGTTCAGCTTGAGTGAGCTTGGCTGCTTTCAACAACCTGTAACCCCTGAGCTCATGCTCAAAGAATCCAGCATTCTCGCCCTGGGAGGTCTCGACAACCTTCTCATCCTCAGCCTCGAAAGAATCATCTTCTCTCACCAAACTCAATCCTGCTCTCGTCACATTGGGTGACCTCGTAGGGGACATAGGAGGATCTCTTTCACTCGCTCCGACACCCATGGACTTCACCTCATGCCGAGCTCGTTCATGGCGTGCACGTTGTAGTGCCTGCTGGAGCTCTGTGAAGAGCTCTTCCTCTCTCACCAGCAGCTGTGGGATCGCCTCGCCATGAGCTCGCTTCAAACCTGTCCATTTCTCCAATCTCGAGAAGCTATCAGGGATTGGAAGCTTCTGCAATGGCGAGTCTCTGAGGACCCGCAGGAGTTTCTCCAGGCCAGTGTCAGAGGAGAAATCCTTTGGATCAAGGTGGCGAACCACCGATTTCGCAGCGCCCTGCAGCTTTTGCCAGATCCGAGGTGCCGCGAGCTTTCTCTCTGTCTCCTTGAGGGAGCATTCGAACCACCTGCACGATGTGGCGAATGCTTCGAAGGAAGACGGGTCGCCGTCCCAGGCCGGGACGTCCTCCGCCGGCATGACGCCGGCTCACCACCACCAAAGCGCCCCAGCTCCTCACCAGGGAGCTCCGCCTACCATGAAAGGCGATAGGCCAACCGATGGCCAAAACGAAGGACCGCCGTGGTCCACCGCGCGCACGCGCCCGAACACCTGTTTCCGCTCGAGCCCCGCCCTACGGGGGTGACGTGTCAAAGGTTCATGACATGCGACCTCATGCGCACACTTAAGTTATCTCATTATACTTCATTGTAAATATTAACAAAATAATCCCTCACCAAATAAATCCTCCCATGTCTATTAAGCTCTCATCTAACTCTATTTGGTCCAGATTTTCATGTTCAAGTTATTATCTTTTCCAAAAGGAAGATAATGGCTGTCCCTTCTTATTTTCGTCATCCACCATCACGTTTATCATTTAGGATGAAGAAAATAGCTTGCGTCCCTGGAGTGGGGAAAGCTGGCCCTCTGCCCCCGGCTATTTTGCAACATTATTTAAGCCAACCTGTGTTGGCGCACAGTGATCGAAGCACAACCAAAGAGATTGAGAACTCGTCAGAATCGGGGCTAGAAAGGATACAAGGGAAAGGCCGGCAAGGCCAGAAAGGCCAAATCAACCTTCTACAACAAGGTGTGCAGCCTCTTCAGTCCCACGTACGATGCCCTCCATCTTGAAACCCGTCATGATAAACCTTCAACCAACCTTCGATCCTTCAACTGCAAAACCAAACGGCCAACTCAGGAACTGCAGCACCCCAACCGCCCCCCCAAACCCAACCAACCCTCCACCTGGATCTGCATCGCAGCTCGAGGCCTCTAAGAGCGGTAAGAAAGACCTCGCGTTAAGAGCTGGCTTCGAAAGAAGAAAATTCTGCTCTTCCAGATCTATCATCATCCCCCCAGTGTTGAAGGAAGAAATCCGGAAATAAACAGACTGACTGAGATTAGAAACATATCTTGGAAGGGGTTTCAAAGAGCCTCAACCTGTTGTTCTTGCTGGGATAGGGCAGCGCGGTCAGAAACTGGAGATGCTGTCGGCTTTGGTTTTTCCTCTCTCTGCATGTTTGGCAGAGGTACCAGTACAGGTTTGAGAGGAATCGGTACATGGTGTGCCAGCCAATCAGACATCAGATTTAGCCTGCATATATATATATATATAACTTATAACTGTGTATAGAATGTGTGATCATTTCAAGGGAGTGCTATAAACACACCTGCGGCTGTGGTTCTTGAACCCCCACGGCAAAAAAGAAGTAGGAGAACTCTAAAACCCATCTGATTTCACAACAGCTAGGCGGCTGGGGCGCGGTTGGGCTAAGCATGGGCAAGCCTTTTGGCAGGAATTGGTTGACGGTTGCTTCCAAGTGCTCCTGCTGCAGAAAAGATTGTGCGGTACAACTTGCGGATTCCAGCTTTCGCAGCTTTGAAGGGCCTCCTAGCTTCTCCAAACCTCCCAGACCCCTTTGAGCCTCAATTCTCAGCCCTTGTTCATCAGCGTCGTCCCCCCCCCACCGTTAGCAAGCGGTCGTCTGGGTCTCCGGCAGAAAGCCAAAAATGGCTTTGACGATACAGAACATGGCAGTTTTTTGTCTGCACGGCCAACACCGCCCCAAACCAATGGTTCAATAGGAGCTGAGTGAGCCTCAAACACCCAGTCGCAATGGTCAGCCTGTCTGGACATTGATTCAGATCAGAGAGCACAAATCACCGAACAAAAGAAAACGAAGGGTACCACGGTGCCGTTGCCATTCGTCACCAACTCAGCAACCCCTCTACAGGCCGTGACGACGAGACGGATACCGACAAGGCTTCGACCCAAGAGCTGGCTGGATGGTCAAGAGATGAGTAAAACCCGTAGGAGAAGCCGGAGAAGCCGGCGATTCCGACACCTTGAAGTGGATTCATACTGTTAGGTCTCCAAGAGCCAATGGTCATCAAAGCGACCGTCTCGACCGCCGCGTCGCACCAGTCGCCTCCCTTTTCTGTCGCCTCCGGCGCGTGCCGCTCATCTGGTCGGATTCGACTCGACGTCGCGTCAGCACGGCGCCGTGCTGAAGCGCCTGGAAACTTTACAGGCAGGTCTCTGGGCTGACCTGAAGATGTTGATCATTGGGTCAAGCCTCTGAATTGCGGAGTTGGTGAGATTGGCTGTTTAGTGTGAGGATTACAGTAGTAATATTTGCCACTTGCTCATCTCTTATATACATCCATCCACATGTAACCGGCGTTTGGTCCGGTCGAAGCAGCTCAGTGACTCGGCTAAGGCTACTCGTTGGCGCGGCCATGCTGTGCGGCCATGCAAGTCAGCCCAGGACCAAGAAGCCCAAAACCAAAAGTGAATTAACTACAGAGTGAGTCGACTCAATCTACAGAATTATCACTCAAAACTCAAGCTGTGCTTCCTACAGAGTGACTTCCTTCCGTCCAAAGACTGTGCGGATTGGACCTGTAAACACACTCTTTTCCACCATGAAGCCCAGTGTCTGGACGCGCAAAGCCGCCATGGTTTGGCACTGGGCTTGAGGCAGAAGGCGGAACTTCCCTTGACTCAAGGGTGCCCTCAGGTGATCGCCGACGGCGAAGACATCAACATCTCAGACCACCTTCGGACACGCAGGGACCTCATCCTCCTGGCAGGGGCAAGCACTTTCAACTCAATGGACAATGTCTCTCCCACAAACACTCACATGTGCTCCGAGTCTTGACTGTGTCTATGTACGTAGGGTTCCTCTGACCACCCGCAAAGTAGTATGGTGGAACATCAGAATCTCCCTACTGCCAACTGGTGCAGGATCTCCAGGTGTTTTACGGGCTTGCTGCTATATGGGATAGCATCTTGAGATGTGCAAATCGCGGTATATCATGTCTAGCAAGTGAAACCCCTGGTGTGAAAGGCTGTTGTTCCTCCTTCTCACTGACAGGTCGCAAGCTGAGCTTGCTGAACGTCCAGAAAGCAATGACATAGAATGGGAGTGCACACTGCAACCGGAAGTGAGGCGCATGAGCTTTCTCCGTGTTTGGCTGAGTCTGTCTGTGGGTCCGAGCTCATCCATATTCCCTTACAGTAGATGGTTTCCGCCAAGTTCTGAGATTGATTCTACCATCGTTCTACATCAAACAGAACGCTGTCGTTCACTTTGCCCGGGCGTTCACTTTCGGTCGTTTCGCTTTCACGCCCCAACACCTAATGTTACCCTCACACCTGATCTTCATCTCCAACCCCCTTTCGGCCCTAGTGCACCAGTTGGCCTGGTACTGTTTCTTGAGATTCTCCGGTACCGTGTCTGGCTCGAAATACCACTCGATGTGCTCTTTCAGCCAATCTTTGAACCAAATCCTCAGAGGGTTTTGCTGGACAAATGGTCTGTGTGTCGTGTGATGAACCAACACATCGAATGGGTGTCCACAAACATATATTGTGTACAGTAATGATTTCCCAAATCAATATATACGGTCCTGTTTCCTATTGATTTGGGGGTCAGCGTATTGTCAGGGCTCGGACTACCTCCGTATACTGGAGGCCGCGAGAGAGGTGCAGAAAAGATCGCAAGCTGCGATTACCGCTGGTGATGGATCATGCAAGTCAGAGGGACAAGACTCAAGCCAAACATCCAAGTTGTTTTGTATGGGGTCTTGGGGATCTTGGTATTGACCTGCAGCCAAATAAGGTCGCATGTTAGTAGGGAGGTCACGTGGTGAAGGGCTGCACCACAAACATCGAAATGTAGCAAATCTCATTGCCAATGTGCCAAATTACTCCCCTGATTCAAACACCTTCAAAAATGGGTGAAACCTGAAAGCACGCTCAAACAGAAAAGGCCTTGACCCTAAGGCACACCGGGGCTACATGAGGCAGTTTGGAGCGAACGCAATGACACGAAGTAGCATCACCTCTTCGTGCGGACCACAACAAATGCCGAAACATGTTTCATTGATCAACAAAACGACAGGCATCATCTTCGTAAGCTTACAGAGACCTTGTTGAAACCATGGGTGATCAAACTCAACACAACCACGTGCTGTTTGCCTCCCTTGCAAAAAGAAAACCTCAGACAAGCGCGACATTGAACACCCAACCCCCGCGCCCATGAAACTGGTTCTGATAAGCATCATTGCTGCGTCTGTGCCACCCTTGTCAGGATGTAGCCTTCGTTGCGGGCAATAGGATGCAGGCCCATGCTGGCTAACCAATCCGATCTGTCAATCTCAGTGTGAATCAGTACTCTGAGATTGCTAGAGAAACACCGGAGACCGGAGAAACACCTGGGCTGCAGGGACCAAGTGGATTCAGCTCAAGGGCTCTTCATCCTGGCACTTTCTTTAGGAGTTCCGGATGAAGGCTCGTTCTGTCCATGTGTCAAACGCCTCTCACATACTCAGAGCACAAAGAACTCTAAAGACCTCTTCCTGGACCATGTGGGACCACACGGCGGACCCTGCCCCGATCCACACCTATCATCTGCCCTCGGCCCCTCGACCGACTGGGGAGAAATCAGGAGAAACAGGATGAATCTCCGCCCAGGCACGTCAGTTGCGCTTCCTTTAAGCGCTTCCTTCGCTCTGCGACGCTCTTCTGTTCGTCGCGGGCGTTCCACAAGTTCCTTTCCACCTCCAAGGTTTTTTGGGCAGAAGTTGGGTCCTCACGGGCCGAGGCTCAAAATGACTGGGGCATGGGTGAGAAATGGGAACCTCTGGAGTGCAGGATTCCTCGCTTCATGTCGGCTCTATTCATGTCGTCTGTTCTTTGCAACGGATGAGGTATCCGCGGTGACCCTGTGTGTATATACATATACAGTACCATATATATAGCTGCCCCCTGACCTTTTTGGTTTGGTAGCATGGTTTGATACAGACAGATGATACAGACAGATGCAGACAGATGCAGACAGATGAGAGGTTCGATGGGTATTTTAATCAGATGTGCAGCCTGAGAAACATGGGGCGCAGGCGCAGCATGCTCTTTTTGGATAGCAGCTAGATGACCATCATTGGCAGAACGAATTTGCGCACGGATGGTTCTCATGCCCTTGAATTAGGACCTTTGGTGAGACGATCCTTAATAAACTTCCATGCCCTATCTATGTGTTGCGTGCCAGCCTTCACTTTGATCGACTTGCCCGTTGAAAAAAAGTGCTTAACCACCTTGACAAAGTTGGGCTGCATCCATGTCCATTTGACATTGACTTTGACACGTGTTTTCTTGTGGACGACGGAGTCATGCAAAACCCCTGGCAACTTGAGCTTGTAAGCCCGAGCAGAATCGGTATGGAATATGATCTGCTTGTTGGCGAGGTACTTCATGTCCAAGGGTGTCCAGTCACGCTTGGTGATGGGGCCAGGACCGGGGGCATGTGGAATGGGTCAGAGATGGTTTGAGCTGACTGAGGATGAGAAGCACGCGGTTTCCCACTCTGCACCAGACCAGACCACTGCCCCCACAAGATGCACTTCTTGTCCTGAACCTGCTCTTGCCAGCCTTCCTCAGTGGACACATCTCGCTTGTCAAATGTGGCTTCATCTCCCTCAACATCATGCCATGTGCTGACCTTGCCACCAAAGACAATTTTCTTCTCCTCTTCGACGACATGCTTCATCCGGATATCATTTAATCGCTTCTGCATCATGCCAATGACCTTGTGGCTGATCCCCAAGCTAAGATAGATCGACGCTTGAGGTACTCACAAAAGGAGAAGCAATAGCAGAGATGATTGCATTTGAAGGGACAATGCATCTGGTCCACGTGCTGCTTGAAACAAAGGGTCCCCCTACCCTACCCTTCCAAAGAGTTCTAAGCACCCCCCTCACCCACCACTCCACATTCGCCTCACATAGTTTATAAACTTAACTATTTAGTGTGTATACATATATACTTTATCAATGATCTTAGATCATGTGGATACGATCATGTACATGTCATGGGTTACTGCACTCATATGTGCATACTGATGTGCATACTGATGTCCATATGTATTATATACATGTTCAAAAAGGATATCGGCATCATCTATCTAGAATCTAGACATTCAGAGTAGATACCGCGGATCAACCCCCAAAGTGGTACAGTCAAACCAGAAAACGCCAGTCTTTGTGATTCTCCTCTGGTCGCAGTGGACAATTAAAGCCTTGGAAAGAGCCAGGAGAGGTGCTGTCGCCAGGCCCACACGAGCCAGGGTCCGCGGTAGGCGGAGTGGGTCCTCGGCTTCTGGAGCTCTGTGTGAGATGAAAGGTGTGTGAAAATGATGGACCCCTAAGTAGAGTTCTTCAAAATCTATGCCATTAAAGGCATTCTGTAAGAACTCCAAGTATTCATATATAATCTTTCTGATGTTGTTAACCGTTCTTCTCTAGGAGCTTCCAAATCCACCATCAATTCTTTACTCAAGCTAAAACCTATCAAAGTATTGCGACAATCATCTCCAAAACGGGGTAGTCCTGCAAACAACTGTCTACAGTACCATCTTTTGCTGGTTGTCTGTTCGGGGTAATCAAACAAAGAGTCCCTCGTATTTTCTAGGTACGGTATATTGTGTGAGTTCGTTCTGATGTTTGTTCTTTTCACATTTTCTCTTTCAGAAGTTTCCCAATCCACCAAATTACAAACTTGGCAAAAAGGAAATGAGTAAATCGAATGTAATCAATAGAAATCTAGAGCAACTCATCTGGGAAACTCTGGGTTGGAAGTCATTAGAAAAGCTCTTGGAATTGTCTCCAGGCGGTTACTCATCGAATCAAGAGTCTACATTCATCCGGCAGGACGTGAGTTGAGGGTTCCTGGCCATCGTCCACTTCCTCAGCACCAGGGAGCGTTGCCTCAGTGCTGCAGCCACTCTTCTCTTCCAAGCACAAGAAGTCTGTGGAGTCGTGCATGGACAAGCTCCTCTGCTCCACAAGCTGGTGCAGCCCGCACTGCTCGATCGCCTCGAGGAGTCGCTGTATCGTCTCGGTCTTCCAGACCTTTTGCTCTGCCTTCCACGCATCCTGGGTGGCCGCGAGGTCATGGTGTGTGGGTCTTGGTCTGTGGGGGCTTGTTGGGTCTCTGTTTTGGAGGTGGCTGTAGGCCGTGTGTTTCATGCCTGCGAGACAGCAAGCACTGCTGTTGAAGGTGTCAGAGTTTCTTCCGTCAGAATGACCCCCGTCCCCTGAATCGTGGTTGGTCTGTTCAGTTAGGGGAACCGTAAAGGTCAGCTTTGTGGATGATTATGATGCATCTAAAATACTGATCAGCACTCCTACTCTTGACACCAATCCAACCTAGATAGAGTTGCTTACCGGTCAAGTTTCACGTGGTGAACATTACAAGAACCATCCGTCATGCGCGCTAGCTCTGGAGGCAGAGATTAAAGCTATCAATACCTTACATAAAAACCCTGTATTATGTGCTCACAAACCATTCTGAATGCAGTCACGGAGATTGTTGAGTGTGTTTGCTTGATTAGATTTCAATAAAAACACACACACAGTTGCTTCATGTAGACTGTGAACAGAATCCCATGGGTGGACCTTGGGACCTGAGCAGCGTGGGGCGGTCATGTATTTAGGTGCTTCCATTCGCACAGCATCCGCTCACCTTTACCAATGCAATATTCACCATGGTCTTCAGGGAACGTGGCTGCAGCTCAAATAGGCACGAGGCACCCACAAATCGAGCAGGCGGGTAGAACTCCCAAGCTGAACCTTGTCTATGGTCCACCGCTCCACCCGAGAAAATCCCTCTGACTCTAGGACATTCTAGGACCATATGAGACAACCCCCCAGTGTGGGGAAGAGCAGACTTTGAAGCTCTCCAAGACTACGACCCCCCCTCTTCAAGTTCAGTTTCGAACTCTTGATTTGAGATGCCAGACCTTCGGAACGTGTTCAGGGTCTTGTTCACCTCAGCATAGCTGTGACGAGCTTCTGGGTACGCTTTCCCTACGCTCCCAAAGCAAAGGAGCTGAAGGGGGTTGGGGTGGATAGGTATCTGTCGGATGGCTCATGCAGAAAGGGCATTGCTGCTTGGGAAATCAATCTGAATCTTGGCATCTTGCAAGTTCCCACGCAGAAAGTGTGAGCGCCAAAACCTTCCGCGGATAGGATTCGCGCCAAAGGGGCCATGCAAAAGAAATTCCACCAGCACCCAGGCCCCAGGCCCCAGACAGCAAAAGATATTTGTGGGCCCCTCGCTCTCTGGAATCAATAAGGCAACCAGGACAAAACCTCCCAGCAGAAGCTCGCAGCCTTGAGACCCCCTGGGCACTCCAGCTCGGAGACCGATGATCAAGACCCCGTATCCCAAGGTTCAGTGGTGAATCAGCTTGATTTGAGGCCCTGAGGAGGGTAGTTTGTTCTAGTCAGATGGTCACAAACGACCACTGTTCTGTACCCTCCAAAGTCTGGCCATGCCCACCATTCCGAAATGGCAGGCACCTGCTTCTTGTGCTCCTCGAGCTGTACTCTGAGTTGTTCATCTCGCTCCTTCGCTGCCTTTTCAGCCTTCTCCTGTGGTGCATATTCACTGAAAATGGTGATCCACAGCTGCAAAAAGAGAGAGCGAGCACCCTCTTGAAGAGAAGAGAGTGGACACATCTAATATCATCTAATCATCACATGAAGAACATGTGCTACTCAAATGCAGAAATTCCCACGCGCAACTTCCCTTAGGTCCTCTTGAACCTGTTGGGGGGTTGTTCATCAAGATCCAAGGTTGTAGCGTAATACAGATAAAGAGAATCATGCCGATCCCTGAGACAAGTTGCCGGGAGATTTCTTCATATCAAAATTGAAATAAAGCTCGTCATTTCGTGTCATTAACTACTCCTTAATTTCATGGCAACAACAACATTAATCCAAACATTCTCCTGTGACTTTCTCACGTGCTAGTGGTCGGGAGAAAAACCCGATGGTCGGGCTGTGGGTCAAAACTCGGAACTGCTCTGGCTGAGCTTCGCTGCTCGGATCGATCAAGCCGAAGAAATCCTTTCCTCGAACTGCTCACTCAGCACGTACAACATGTCACTCGCATGTTCTATCTGACTGGCGAAATCAAGTATCCACACCCCCACTGGTCAACACTCAACAGAAAATCAGCCATCTCCGGAGATCTGTGGAGATCTGTCAGGTCATCCATCGTCCGTCAACGTGTTCTTCAGGCCTCTTTCGCCTTGACCAGGCCCTGCCGTCCTGCACGACGCTCAAACCGACACCTGTGACTAACGCCACCGGCAACAGGCCCACAGGAGCAACCAGGGAAACCGCGGTCAAGACTCCGTTGGACTCGTGAAATGCTTCGTGAATACCGCGGAAGGATCGGAAACGTCTGCCTGTTGGTGTGAACGAGTCCAGGGTATTGAGACTGTTTAGATGTTGGCCAACCAAATCAGTCTCTGAAATGAGCTACTGTAGTCCTATAGCAAACCTGCCCCAAATGGACCTGGTTTTGTCTGCAGGGACTGCAGGATCCTGCAATTTTACAGCAACAACATTATTGCATGTCAGGGTCCACCATGACAACATTGATGAAACATCACGAGAAAATAATCATTACTATCTCTAGCCCGTGCCAGGGAATGCAAGCAAAGGTTTCCCAACCGTCTAAGCAGCTAGTCTCAGCGGATAATGAAGTCTGAAACTCGTCCGCAACAACCTGGTTTGAAAGCAAGCAAATCAAATGCACAAAGGCAAAAGGCAAAAAAGATCTCTATATATTTTGTGGTCAGTCTGGGCGGCACGACTCTCAAAGAGATGTCCTTCCAGACTTTTCTGGGTTTCCTCAAGGGTAGTGATCTTCTGGAGTTGACTCAGTGCATCGGAGGACAAACCATCAGTCTTCTCCGTCAGCTCCTGAAGGGTCGGCAAAAATCACGGCTCCTAGGCATGCAAAACTTGGTGATAGAACATAAGTCCAGAGGAAAACCGGCGCTATGTCAGAACCCCGCATATGTGTTCCAACCCAACTGGCCCACTGGGCAATATCAGAAAACTTAGCTTACATAGTGGTGGTGAAGCTAAGCAGCTGGCTAGGAGGTGTGCTAGCTGGCTGATTTGAGCAGCATTTGTTAATTAAGCGGTCACCGGGTGTTTTTGGCTGCCCTGTGTGCTAGCTAAGAAATGGGCCATTCCAAGATTCACTTCCAAAGTGAGTTCTTTGCAAGCGAATTAAGCAGAGACCGAGCCGAGGTCAAAATTACGAGCAGCGCAAGCATTGAGTGATGCACAAAGCTAGGAAAGAAATGAGTCCGGCGGCGACCTCCGAGGATCCTGGGGTGATGCCCTCGCAACCCACAACCACAGGAAGCATACGCTTGAACATGTTTGCATAGAGCACGGCGTCCCACCTACTGATTTAGACATGCGCCTACCACATCGAGCCCGTGCACGTTGTGATAGTTGTATACAGTGACGGGCATTCTGGCAGCAAATCACACCTATGCTATACTCATGAGAAGAAGCGAATTGAGCCGCTGGGCCTTTGTTTCTGAATTAGACCTAGAGAAATATGCAGTGTTGGCGTGTGTGACGGCGGTGTTGTTCACAAAGCCACAGGGTAACACACAGGAGCCCCCACCCTACCAACCCAGACAGAGCAATAAAGCAGAAGAGTAAACAGTCTCCCCTGATCCACCCTGAGGATCAAAAGCTGCTTTTTAATTAATAGAGATAACTTCTCAGAATCATAAAGCATCTGAGGATGCAAGAAATCCCGGTTCCTTGCTGGCACGATGATGCTCGTCGATCTGCTGTTGGAGCCCTTCCATCAATGTTTGCTGTTTCTCCAGCGCATCAAGAAACACAACATTATTGAGCTCTTCAGCAAGGGCGTTCATCTGCTTTTGGATGCCTTTGATGGAGTCCTCGAGATCTTGAACCCACGCCGAGCTAGCAACCTTCTTTTTATAGCACAAGAAACCTACTGTCACCTCCTTGTCTTTCGAAGAATCACCTGACTCGGCTCCATCAGCTCCATTGCAAAGTGGCAAAGCTATGGCATGAGCTTCAATAGGAATAGAGCCCGCGTACCGCTCCAAAACCTCCCTGTGATCGAAGTTGCCACAGGAATTCTGACCACTGTTTTCTCCTCGTTCCAGGAGAAACTTGTACTGAATGGGTGATTCAAGCTCATCCAAGCCAATACCGACATCCTTGGATTGGTCGAAAGTGACGAAACGTCTGTCTCAAAAGAACCCGCTTTCACGCAGGCTTTCATGTCTGGGCATTCATGTTTGAGCGTGTGGAAAAGAAGTGACGACAACACAAATGCCATCAATGCCCAACATCACTGCCGAGTGTCAGCTTGCCACCTGGGGTGCGCGTGGCACTGAAGCGGGAGCGCTTTGCTCTTGTCCCATTCGCCCAGTGACCTGCAACCTTTGCAAATCTGCAGTGCAAAGGAGTTTAGGGGATCATCGAAACAAATAATGGGAAGCAACAGGAGAGTTAGGTTTTGACCCACCGCAGCCAACTTGCAAGTCAGATCGCACCCCAACAGCCCTTCAGGTTGCACTTCGGTACTGGGGCTTGGGTTTTAACCCACCAAGATATTGGCCAAGACCAAGATACTAGTTACGGCGTTATTCATCATTCATCTAAACCAGAACATGTTTAGGTTGAAAAATATCAGCAAGCTCGCTACCCATCGCCAGGAGAGCTTACGCATCAACAGTCCAGAAAGTTTTAACCCTAGACTCTTTGAGTAGATTGAAATACCTGCTACTTGAGGGTCCCCACTGTGAGATCCCCTAGCACCCCCTGAGTTGTGTTATTTTGATGACTACAAGAAACGCATCAAGTTCTCAAACAACAAAAGGCTACCCTCCAGTGTTTTCCTGAAAGCCTCCTCCTAGCTGCTAGCTACCTACCTCTGGTGCCCCAAGATATAATCGCAATATCTTAATGACGGGTCTTGTAAAGGGAAAGTGAAATGCTTTTTCAACGTGTACGTTTGAAGGATTATAGGGACCGATGGGCAACCCCTCCTGGTTCAAAAGTTAGTGTCGCAAACCCCGTCTAGTTACATAAAGTTTCAATTGGTGTTTTCAATCAGGCCTTTTCGGACGCTTTGTTAGCTACAGTAATTTGATGGAACCCTTACCTTAAAGCAAAGAACCCATGTATATATATAGTATATTGTCACTGTGTTAATATGTGTTAATTACATCAATAAAGGGCTTTGTAGAAAACCCTTTGATTTGGCAGTTGTTTCAATATTTGATGAATCAAGGAATTTCTCTTATATATAACATGTGTGCTGGGAGAGGATGAACCCATTGTGGCGTAGTGGGCCTCTCCCTTGAGACAAGACGCTACCATAGACAAAGACAGTGTCTCCATGATGGGTTTGCTGCTCAGTTTGGAACTTGAAGAGCAGCTGACATGAGGCCGGAGGAGACATCTTAGGAATTGGGAAGCTTGAAGCCTGAAACAGCTCAGCAGCCGAAAAGAGTCTAGCTTCTAAAAAAGGGCAGCTGATGCTAGTGCACTGCCCTCCGCGTCGGTTACATCCACTCGGCACGCACAACATCGCCGACTATGAACCCTCCTCTTCAGCAGAACACAAGCCACGTCGTGATCCAATGTGGAAGGACATGCTGCGTTCCTGTGTGCACCGATATCTTGTGCAAACAGTTCTGGATGTTTGATGATATGTGGAACATTTGTCAATGGGCCGTTCCAACCAGGCCGGAACTTCATAGCGGAGCCATCAATGCCTTTCAGACTTAGCAACTTCTGCTGCTCTCCCCACCAAGGTATGGCACGGTTTTCTCCATCGCCTGTTCGCGCTCTTCCAGCGCTTGCGAACTCTGCAATGCAAACTGTTTGTTGACTTGATGAGCATGACTAAGACGCTCCTACAAGTGACCTGCTGTCCGGGTTGGGAAGCATTGCCAGAACCTTGCATTACCATCCACGTCACTTTTTGCTGATCAACTGAGTTGCCGCCAAGAAAAGATATGAATAAAGGTTGTTGGATCTCTACCCAACCCAGGCACAAGGACCGGGGCCAATACGCAAACTTTGGCACGGCACCCAAAACTGCGACTGTTTCATCAGTCGCCCTAAAGGTGTGCTCACTTGCACTTGGGATGATGGCACTAAATGGCACCCCAGTCAATGTAGTTCATACCCAAACAGGTGTGTTTCCATCCTACATGAATAGTGTACAGCTCAAACTTTAAGATGCTTAAGGGGGCAGGATGTTTCATCTCCAAGATGATTGGCTCAAAGGCTCTTCACCCATCCAAGCATAACGGGCTGGCGCCAGCATCTAGTGGCGCAACGCCTTGGCGTGAGTGTGCTTGACCACTGGCACCTCGGTACTCAGCAGAGTGGAACACTGAACCAACAAATGCATTTAAAAAAAAAAAAAAATACATGTGGAACCCAAGTGACCCTTTTGGGGGAAACCAACCATCCAAGATGTTTAGCCTCTTGAAAAAGACAGGTGAAGACTTCTAGGAGGCTATAGTACTGCTGTCCTTCAAGCTGTTCTCTTGAAAATGTGTCTTGGATAAACAGAAGTAAGGTAGATGAATGAAAGCCTATTGCTGGGTGCACAAATACCTTTCAAAAGAAAGGACTCCCATTCACAGTATCGGCAGCACCTTGACGGCCAAAAACCAGGACCCAAAAACCCACCTGGTTCCCATCCCCAACCGATGCGGGAGCCGATCTTCATTCCCAGGCACTGGCGGTGCCAGGCACCCGGAGCACTGCCGCCCGCGCTTGCGCGACGCGCGCTGGCCATCCCGGGTGATGCCTGCGGGTTCTTGTCTGTGACTTGGGCTATCCGGGTACCCCTTCTAATTAAAGGTATATGAAAGTGCACAGCTGGTTTGGAAGGCGCCCTTCAATTTTGAGATACTTCAAGATCTCTTTTTGCAGGACATATGGAAAAAAGTGAACCTAACAAGTAAAGACGGTTGGATTTTGTGGTGAAAACTACCACCCCCTACAATCCTTGGGCTCACGCCGAAATTGGATGGTCCAGCTGCGAAAGGTGGCTGAGGTGTCATCGCCATACATCCATAGAAAACATGAGGGATTCTCCCTCACCATGGACGAAAATGGGACAGATCAACGGATTGATTTGCTCGCCGCAGGCATCAAGTTGGCCGAGTGGGAAAATCACCCATGGAGCTGTGAGAAGAGGGCACCTGACCATGAGTCGGACTTCTTGGAGCTTCGCTGAGCCCCACTTGTATCGTCCCAACTCCTATCGCAACGGAGATCCCCCCAAACTCGTGGGGCGTCCAAGGCACTCACTGTGGTCTCAATGATGGGCCACTGCGGCCACTGCTGGGCCCTTTCCTCCATCACCAGCTCGGTCACTTCGTCGTCCTCGGCAAAAGAAAGGGTCCCGATCCTGCAGCGACCCTGCAATCAAGCACCTGGATTGAAAGTCATTATGAGACCATCATCAGTCACCTGTATATGATACGCTTGTGTGACAAGAACGCTACACGTTTTGATCTATGTAATGTAATGCACCATTCTCTTAGTGGACACAACATCTTCCTCCTTTTCTCGGGCACAAGAGGGAATCTTTCCGGAAAACCGCCAATTCCTCCCCTCCCCCCTTAGCGCCTCGGCATCGGTCGAGGACACTGCGTCGCCCTGTTCCACTCCGTCGACATCGCCGTCGTCCTCCTCGTTGTCGCCGTCGCTGGACACACCGAAGTCGCTGCCAGCGGTGGCAGGGGTGGAGCGCGAAGAGAGCAATGACCGTCTCACCTCCAAGGTCAATGCGGTCAAGGGAAGAAGGTTCCAGTTGACAGGGTTGGACCCCTCTCTGGGAAGATTAGGAATTAAGAGATCTCTCAAACTCCGAGAAATTGAGCTAAACAACTGCTGTGAAGTGTACGAGTGTACGAGTGCAGTACGAGTGCAATAGTTCGTATATTCACAAAAGACAGAGCATCTGGAAACTTTAAGCCGTGAATGTTAATCCCTACGAAGATGGAGACTTCAACACTTCATCTAACACGTGGCAATCCTTCGTTTGATCCACCCAACTGGACCCCAACAAGGCAAGCGACCAACTTGCATTCACCTGCTATCTCTTGCTCCAGGATGTTGTTAATCAATGCAATGAGTGAGAATTACGTGCGGATGAGCTCTACTCCCAGCCTTTTGACTTGGGGTCTTGTGTGTGCAAAAGATTGCAAACGTGCTCCTCGAGAAGCAGAAGCAAGCACGAGCTTGTGTCTTTCAGCGCAAAGCGCATCACATGATATCTAAATTCAAAACGTGGGCAGACCGTCGGCAGACACATTCAGAAACAAGTCAACTCACCGTGAAGCCGATTTGACCAAAACCTGCCTGGGCCGGGGTCTTTTCCTGCTCAAGACCTCCATCTCGCGCATCCAGAAGTCCTTTGAAGAGCTCTTCCTGTCCAGCCAGCGCAGCCTCCAGGCTCATCATTCGTTGATGCTGCTCTGACATCTGCTTGGCGATGAAGGCCTCCAAACTTCCCAGAAATTCTTGCTGAGCCGCCGAAGCTGCTTCCAAACGGTGAATTCGGTGCAAGCCAGATGATGGACATTTCTGCGATGCCTCATGAAGTCCTCCGAGAAGTTGCTCTTCACCCATGGCGGATGCTTCAGGACTGTCCAGTTTCTGAAGCGCCTCCACCATTTGGCTTGCAAGGTTCAGCAGGCGGGTCTTTCGATCGATCTCACTCTGGATCTCCTGAATCCAGCCGGCAAGCTGAGGCAAGCTGAACTGCGGGAACCCTTCTCGTACCGGCATCTCTGGGCTGACACGTGGAACTGGAAGGTAGAGATAGCGGCAAATGCCAGGCTGCTCAATCCTGACTCGGGCTCAAAGGGTAGACCTTAGACCTTGTACTTCATCATTGACCGTATTTATATGAGCCTTTAAGCTGCACCCCCAAATTTATTCTGAGTTCTGATGCTGTTCTAAGTTTCTACAGCACCCGGAACTTTAAACAGCTGCAGTTTTCACAGGCTGTATTACGTGTTACGACCAGATTCTTAGGGGCAATCAGGCCACAGCCATTGACACCCTTACATATTCTCCTTCTTGTGCTCTCGGTTTGCTTTCTGCACTGCCCTCCGTGCCGCATGTTTGTCTGTACTGGCTTCTGATGTATTGATGTGAGACGCAGGTGATTCCTCCTGGTCAACAACAATGGCGCAAGAAGTTCTTTGTTCGCGAATGGATCTAGATGTGTCGTGAAGACAAGGCCCAACAAACACAACAATATGCCATGAGATTAATATTCTACTGTAAGATCCTGAGGAAGGGTCCATCTACCTGGCACTGGACCAGGCAACCCCAAACCTCACTCGTTTCGTTCAGAACACCGTTTCGTGGCCGCCATTGAGTGACTTGTTCGTAGTCCAGGCTCAGACTGACATGCGCACTGAGCCCACGGCTTCGGTTTTAGGTGTAAACCGTGGCCTGTTGAAAGATCCGCCAAGTCTCCTTTCCTTTGATGATCCTTTTTCGACCAGAAACTTGTACTCAACGGTCTTCCCGGCATCCTCCCAACCAAAGTTGATGTCCTGGTCAAACCGTGTCGAGCTGATGGCAGTCGAACATCATTGGAACACCAAAGAAGTCAAAAGTTCACAGTGAATACTACTTGTTTCGACTGGTAGCTTTTGTCAGTTTCCATTTGGTTGAACTCCGAAGTCGTTGATCCGTCAAGAGGCTTCCATAAAGTTGGTCAGTCTATATACCTGTGAATCAAGGTCGGCACAAGGTCGGCAGTCCACAGACGAACTCAGCCCACCAATGTTAATTATACGGTTGTACACCACACATAGTGAATTGGGCCTGAAGTATCCTGAATTTAAAGTCCATTGGTTCCCAGCTGGTCCAACTTCGAGCACTCCGTTCACCACTACCGGTTTCACCTCCTTTCACCACGCTTCCCACCTCCTTTCGGTCCCATTGCTTCGCCGAGTGTCCACTCTCCATGCGGGATAGGTCCCTTCGCAGGACATCTCTCGAGCTTTCGTGAGGTCCCACTGGCCCAGTGCAGCCGAGCCTCACGGATCCGAAGCACCGGGCCGTGGGATGAAGCAGCTGGGAAGATTGGGGATCACCCAGGGTGCCCCTGAGCGCCCCATGGTGCCAGGGTCACAGGGAATAAAAACAGCAGCACTTTGTTGATTCCAGTAGACAAACGGCCAGTCACATGCGGAAATGGGGATTGATGTCCTATCGCCAAGTACATAAGAGACTAGAAACAACCGATACCTCCGGCCAATTTCGTCGCATGCTTGCAACCTCCGGCTATACACAGAACATGCCGGAAAAAAAGAATTGCCAAAAGGATGCTTGGTCCGCTGGACATGGAGAAGCACGCCAAGAAAAGCCAGGTGACTGCCGTACACGAAGACGGTATCTTTCCACTCCGTCTTCTGCACGACTTCGAGCCTCACCATGAATCGACCGGAGCCTTCGTTGCAGCTGTCGCCTTGGCACAGCGAGGCCATGGCGCCGAAGCGAGAGACGTCTTTGAGCCGAAGTGAGCTGCCGATTCGTGCAAAACCTTTTACAGGGTGATTTGCGCCAAAGTCCGATTTGCTGGTGTCCTCTTCCGTTGATCTCAGAGATGTTACAGAATCAGTTTATCAAGCATAAACCTGAGGCCTGGCAGTACAGTCAATCCACTGATTCAGTAGATATGATACGACCACTTCAATCCACCGTGGAATGCACTCAAACCACCTTCCCCCGCCGTCTTCCTCCACATTCAGCGTTCGGCTTCCATGTCTTTTCGGTGTGAGCTCGTGCTCACATCGTGACCCCTGAGTATTCGGTGTATCGGAGTCCCTCCAACCACGGCTTCGGTGTTCCACTTGTTTGCATGTCTCATGTTTCAGAGCTTTTGATTGATGTGTTCTGGACTTCCCAAATATCCGGAAATGAGAAAAATCCAGAGGATTATATGTGTTCTGCGTGCTTGACTTCCACAACGAAAAGCCTCAAGTAGATGTCCGGCTCCTTTTTCATCAGACTCGATGCCGGGGTCGAACGGGAGTCTTCCAGCAGAGCGGAACTGGTGAGGGGAAGCTCCCAGCTGGGAAATGAACTCACCAGATCACCGAGCGTCGCCCGCTTCGCCAGGTTCCCCGATCGCCCACGGATTAAGTGGCTTGTATACTCTACAAGCTGCTGTTCTTTCTCAGAAGAAGAATGGTCGGAAATCGGTTTGTTATGATATTGTATGATAGATAGCTCAACCATGAAGTTCTAGACTATAATTACCGGCGTCTAGATCTCCAGCCAACTCTTCTTTGGAACTTCCGAAACGCTGAAACTGTCTTCTTAAAAGCTGTGTCAGGGTTAGGTCATTCTTAGAAAGAGGAATGTGCGTTTATTGCTCAATTGATGAGACTGGAGATGGGTGTGCCCCAACCCTGACGTGGTACGGACGCAAGCTTTAGCGCCTTCCCCACAAAATTGCACTCTTCAGCTCTGAATTTCTGCGCGCACACCGCGTGACGACATGCGCGCCAGTTCGACTCAGGATTGCACTGCTGATCCTGCCTGGCGAGGCCCCGAGCACATGGTGGTACATGTTGCTGCGGTCTATGCTGATAGGGTCCTAAAGGGTCCGTCTCCTCGAGCAAAAGAGGCTCGAGTATATAAATCACTGATGAGATAGCTTGTCCTTGGAGTTTTGAGTCCCTCCCCTGCCTGTGCAGTCGGCTTGTATTGGTGCCGGGGCAAAGGCGCCATAGGGAGCGTTCTCACAAGCTCAAGCGCCTACAGGATTGTAGCGGCAGCAGCCAGTGGTGGCCGCGAAAACTACTCTACATATTCATTGTGAGGGATACAATCTGATACAGTACATTCTCATTGAATTCTAGATAGTAAACAAAAGACTATACTCATACCGTCTTGGTCCATCTTGGTCAATCCGGCATGTCTCGTGGAATTCCATTCCCCGACTACTCCGACTCTCGGGTAGGGCGAACGGTCCCCGCCTACTCGGCGACGCCCGAGTGGGCAGAGCCTATGCACGGCGACCGCTGTCATCAGGTCGCACCACATGGCGTGGAAAAGCGGGAGAAATCAAAATGATCATCTTAGGGCATGAATCGAAGTGGGACATCATATGACATGCCTCTGGAGGAAATTCGGTGAAGATTCTATGGAGTCGAGCTTCTCCAGTTACCAAACATGTCCCGGATGGCCTCTGGTGAATCCCCCAACACATCTGAGACACAGTGAGTTGCTGACCAAGTGAAAATTCTTGCATGCACTGGTTGGTGGGGGTCTGGAAATGCTCTGGGGAGTGAATCATGTCTCATCTGTTATGTCCCCTCACCATAAAGACTGGCCAGTCAAGAATGGAACTTCTCTTGTCACTAGCTCATCATCTGCACTCCCCCAAGCAAAAAAAATGGACACTCCCACTTGAGGCATGCAATGGGTCGTCCATCCTCCCAATCCTGTCAGGCGCTTCCACTTCAAACTCAGGGCGCGGCGCTCTCCGCGGGCGATTTGGGTCACTTCGGTCCAGCCCACAGGGCACGGTCCACCTGAGGCGGTCTCAGGAGCCGGCGGAGGACCTGAGGTGAAAAACACATCAAAAAAAGACTCACTGCAGCCTGATGGTGACATGTTCGCAGCCTTCTAGAGGTACTTAGATCCTGGGAGATGTCAGTGTGGTTGACTAAATTGCCATTATATATGTCAAATGATGTTTGGTCGACCAAAGACCAAAGACTCCAAAAATACACCTTTCCTAGCCCAGGGATCCAATTCTGAAACTCTTGGCCTAATCAGAAGCGGTGAAAGCAGCATACCATACCCATCCCTCCCAATGGATTGCGAAACTTCACCCTTCCAAGGCACCGCTGCTCTTCGTGGTGCGCTCAGCGGAGGAGGAGTCGCGCACAATAAGAGCAGCTGGCGAACCACAGCGATTCAACGGCGGGATCCATGTGTCTGGATGTGGGTTGTTGAGGGGAGGATCTGGATTGTGTGATGAGAGGATCTGGGACTACCCTTGGTCGGTATGATGAGTCAGCAATCAATCTAAAAAAGGGCCCGTCACTGTTCCGAGATGTCTGGTCGAATCTGCCAGATGCCCATCTGGTGCCAATGTGGGACTGGTGGATCCTCAGGAGTGAAATCGCTGAAGGTTTAGCTACACAAAATAACCTATACTCAGCCACATTAAGGGCACTTGGGGAAGCTTTCACACCGTAAACCCATGATTCTGCCGTGAGGCGGGGGGTTGGGAGGCCAACGTCGTTCAAGCAGAAGGAGGGTTTGCAAGGTACAAGTTCCACCGTCGTTCCGGGAACCAACCACGAATCCCCCCGGGACCCGTCACCAACGGTACCGTCACCGGGGCAACCCGATCGAAGCACTGAGCACTGTGCACTGTGCACCTTCCAGCTCCTGCACTCGGCATTCCATCCTCTTCATCTGCTCCCGAGCCTCTTGGGTTTGCTGCCTGTCTGAAGGCAACAGCAAAGAGGAAAGAAACGAAGAAGAGAAGCACACCCCGCGCACGATGTGAAAGCAAGACACCAAGCAAAAAACACAAACAAAGAAACAAACACACCCACAGCCACATGTGCATTGGAAAGAGAAGAGACCCGGTCGCCAGACAGCTGAAATGAGTAAGGAGGTAGGTTCACCCACTTCAACATGGACATATATAGTATTAGTAATTCAATCTGAACCAGAAAGAGAACTAAACCCTGGGAAAAGAATAAGTAATACACTAACAAATTTGTTTGGCTTGCTGTTATTGGGTAGTAAAACAACACTCGTAGCCAACCAGCCAGGGCACGCAGCATGTTTCCGGTACTCCTTCTCCTTGGCAAGCTCCTGATCCTTCTTTTCCAGCGATTGCTGGAGTTTCTGCAACACGTCAGCATGTTGCAGCCTTAGGCAGTATGAACAGCACTGTTCAGCTCAGGAGGTTGACATTCCTGAGCATGTGGACAACAAGCTGCAACCATGACCGTTTACCTATGCAAAAGGACACCAATTGGGACCGTGAAGCGACCAAAGATCAGCTGGGATGTCTCACAGCGTCACTTCCGGTGGATCAACGGGCCTTCAAGGCACTTATCCCCCGATCTTGCGACTGTCCATATACACTTGCGAAACTTTAAGATACTTTAAAGCCAAACATGCAGGGAGTAATCTGATTGTCAACCTCAACCTCTCCCTCTCCCTCCCTCTCTCAGAAATGATCGATCATTCAGACGCCGCGTGTTGTTAAGCAGCCAGGACGATTGTCATGGGAGAGTTCCATCACCCTGTTCCACCCATCGCGACCCGGCCGGCGCCAGAGCGAAATACACCAACACTTGAACCAAGCGGCGCCAGGGCGTGGTTTTGGCCATAGTCCTCCTCGCATGCAGAAAGGGCCGATTGAGAATGATCATGGTCTATCTACCTACTCCAGGATGGCTCTGCCTGGCTGAATGATGGCTTGAAATGCTGTCAATCGTCTACCTAACTGTGCCAGCCATCTACTCCCTCCAGAATACGGGCGGTAATCTTTATAACACGCTATGTTTGAGATATCCTGTGCTTGCAGTAACAGTGCGGCCGGCGCGGCCAGGAAGCAGGCTCGCCCTACCACACTGGGAAACTATCTGTGAATCCGCGTGGTCTTTGACTTTGGCAGTTTGACATCCAAATCCTCCACATGCTTCAAGCCCCCTGGGCCACGGGACTCCTTCCACTGCGCCTTCTCCCGAAACCTCCCCGCCCGTGGAACCGGCGCTGCTGTCCTCATCGAGGTCGTCACCGTCATCACCCTCCTCGTCCCTGAAAATCGCCTCGCCAAAGGCGTCCTCGGCCTCGGCCTCGGCGCAACACACATCGTACGGTCGCGCGTGGGCGGCCCAACCTTTGCAGAAAGGAGAAGCTTTGAGTCGTCATCCGGAATGCTTGGTAGATGAAATGCTCTGAGATGCCACTTTGAAGGTCAAGTTCAAATTCCACACACACACAAAATAAGTTATGTACCAAGTCCCTTGAAAGTAAGGATTACCCATACAACAAAGGCAGCACAGATCTCCCAGAAGACAAGGTTGGATCAGATTGCCCCCTCTCCAAGATCCTTCAAAGACGTGTGGGCGGCGCAATCTACGGGGAAATAATGTGGAAAGCCTCTCTTCATCTTACTCGGAACAATAAAAAACTCTCCTGTTGTGCTCTACTGATCTGAGAACCCGCCCACCCCACCTCAAAAGGCCCTGGACGGTCCCGGTCTCGCCTCTGCTGTCTCCTTGGCCTTGCCCGAGTCGATCTCGTAGCCCAGCTCGGCGAGACACTTCAGCTCCTGAGACCGAAAACAAAAAGATTGCCGCTTGAAGAGTTGCATGTTTGCCTCCCTGTGTACAAAGAGACTAGAAGGTGATTCATTTCGGATTCTGAAGCCAGAAGTAGTTCAAGGCTCATCGTCGGGCCAGTGTCTGGCAGTCTTAGGGGACGGTCTGAGACCCACAAACAACGGTCCAAAAATGCCGATCAAAAGCACTGCCAGTCGACTCGTGACTCGGTCCGGCGCCTGTCGCGATGAACAACCGTTTCCAAGAGCTGGAGTTCTGCGAAATTCCCCACGACTTCCGTGCCGAGGAATGCGACAGTAAAGCTTCTCTACGAAATCCGACAGTGATACAGTTGAGCATTGTAAATGGACCTCACAACGACGGTACAGTGATTCAAAGTTACTACTGATTCAGATTCTAGTGCATCCCCTTCAAAGGGTTCTAAGACATCAAAGATGTTTTGCTATCACTCGCGTGCGTCCCTTTTCTAAACATCGTTCTCTGCTCAATTCTATCTTTGGTACACCCACCAGCAGGGGCCGAACCATGACCCAGAGCTTCCTGGTCCCAGTGCTGTCCTCCCGTTGCTCGTCAGCCTGGCGGTACAGGTCTTCTGCCTTATCAGAGCACAGCCAGTGCAAGGAGCGGTGTCGCACGTTTGCCCGAGTGGGCTTTGAGGCCTCAAAAAGGGTGAAATAGTCCTCCACGTTGAGCCCCAATCAGGCGGAACAAGTGAAATCCGTGTGCCCAGAATACAAGTAGAAGGCGATTCACTCTACCAGTATGTGGGTACATCTTCAAGCTGGATTGAGAAGTCCGATCAATCAATCACTTCCCTTTTCGTCGCATAGCTGGTCATATTGCTTTGGAGGCTACATGCATTTCAGGAAGGTGGCCACTGCCTCGGCAAGTTGAGCTACACCATTTCCCGGCCTCGTTCTGCTGCCGTTTGATCTCCTCTTCCGCCTCTTTTAGCTTGTTCGCCTGGTCTTGCGTCAGGTGCCGCTTGGAGTCAACAGGTGATACAAAATTGATAGAAAGAAAGGATCCCCCCTTCAAACAGTCTTGGACCTGAGAGTTACCCCAATATGCAATATGCATCTGTCTATGCATACAAATATATATATATATATACATACAGTCATACAGTATATATCGAGGCCGAAGTGAACATTTGGGTCGAACCATGGAGAAAAATGTTTGTGTCTTGTGAAGGAACAAAAACGTGGGAGTGGAAAGGGAATGGATTGAAGACCACCTGCCTCTGTTGTTGTTGTGGGATTCCATCCACAATATGAATCACGAGCAAAGAAGTAGTAGTGCAACCAGCCCACAGTTGGACTACATACTCTGTAGGGTATGCTCACAGATGTTGGCAAACTCATACTTTTCAGACGCTCTGTTCTTCGTACGCTCCGTTCACCGTCCCCCAGTTCGGCCTTCTGCTGGAGCCGGAGCCGGTCAGCCACCCTGAGAGAGACATTGGAATCATTCACAAATGCCAGAGCCCAAAGGCATGCGAAGGTTGCTTGGCGTCCACATCAAATCTCAAGATTGTTCAAAGAATTCAAGCTGCCCCAACAATCAAACCAGAATAAACACCTCACACCGAGGAGCAGTTTGCTCTTGTTCGTGCCTTTGCAGCTCTGCTCCTGGAGTTTGGGACACCGAGCCACGTCTGAACGTCTGGTCCAAGAACACGTGCTTGGTGCCGTCGTCCGAACAGTCTGATCTCCGAACGAATGGATCCAACGTAAGGTAACCCTCTGACGTCGAACCATCACGACAGATTCCACCAAGACCAAAACCATGAAAAACCAAGTTGTGCAAGTTGAGCTGAGCCGAGAAGCCTGGGCGAAATGAATTCTTCTATGCAAACCGCTTAACAGCTGTAAATGGTGGAGGCCTTCTCATCCAAAATCTGTATCCGGCGGCAGACACCCCTCCATAAACCATCTGTAACCCTTTCCACGTCCTTAGTCGGTCAACAAGTGAATCCCCAAACGTCCTTCTCGGCCTTCTCTGCCTTGGCACTCTCAACCTTCTTCAGCTCCTGATACTCTGCATGAATTGGTGTGCATCATCCAACCGTTTCACACTTCCCCATCGTGGAAGATTTCCTCATTCTGGCACGGTGTGCGTCACAAAAGACTCGTCGCCCATAGCCCATAGAATCTCGAAAACCACGTGAGCAACGATCTCTTGCTTTAGATCTCCCCTCCAATCTGCTTCTCCTTCTTCGTGAGTGCAAGCTGGTTGCGCTTCTCCTCGCGTGTTCCGGCGCATGCTTCGCAATAAGGTGGAGCTGTGGGGAGACTGGTGTTGTCCAACGTTCATCACAACCTCAGGGAGGGGGACGAGCATCTAATATACACCCTACAGGTCAAAGACCTCATTTTTCTGGACATGGTCATACAAAAACACTACTTGAGTAGGTCAAAGACCAGGTTTTGCTGGGTCTTTGGGCTTGTAAGGTACATGTACCTGATTTCCCAGAAAGAGCCGTCGTCTCGGGAAGTTCAGGATCGTTCGGGAGACCCTGCCCCACAAAAGGCCCCCATGATTTGAGGCTTCTGTTGGGGGAAGCCGGGTACCGTCATTTTCAGACAACGAGAGCGCGACGTGTTTGTTCGATTCCAGCAACTCTTATTTTTGCCGCTTTAACCACAGAAGGAAACCCAACAACAACAACAACAACAACAACATGCACTTCCACCCAACCCTCTCTCTTTGGTCTACAGCCCTCTTTCTCCTCACACAACTTCTGCGTGACTTGGCAAATGAACTCCTCAGCGGTCGTGGCAAAGTCGGTAAGACCAGACCCTAACTCAGCTAAAGGCTTAGCAAACGACCCATCTCTGAACTGCCCGAACTACCCATCTCTTCCAGCAAAAGGCTTCGCAACGGCGCCACACGGGCTCAAGCCGGTGAAACGCCACACAGTAATTACACAAGCACCTGTCCATGTCGAGGCTCGGTGTTCACCACACTGATGAAGGCTGGCTGGAAGGCCTTCTCCTTGAGCTTCAAGGCCGTCTCCTGTGGACATTTCATCCAGCAACCTGATGAATTCGTGCCGCCCGGTGGGTCAAGGGGCGGAAGCTATGTCTCCCAAGATGTTCCACGAAAGGAGCAAAAATCAAACCCAACCGTTTGCGCAGGCTCCCATCAAGGAATCAAGGCATCAAATAGAACTCACAGGAAGATCCCATTCAACTTCTCTGGAGGAAATGATAGGTTATCGTGATAAGCAACCCACCGTCTTCCTTTGCTGCTGTTTCTCCACCCGAGAAAGGCTTTTTGACCAACTGCCCAACATATTAACCTTTTTACCGGAAAACTGTGATCTAAGAAATTGAGTTCTAGACACTGCCCTTCTGACAGTCTTGATGGACAAGAAAACCAAGAAAACGCCACTCCAAGAATGGATGGATTCCAGAAAAACCAACGGACCACTCTGGCTCTGCCGAAACGGCACCGCCGGTGGAGCAAGGTCCTTCACCTTCGAGTGGATCTCCTCGAAGGATTCCTGCGCCTTGCCAAGTTGGGCTGGTGAGCTGTGCGAGCAAGAAATCACGAACCCGCCAGCCTGTTGGAAAGGTGTTTCAATACAAGCAGCGTGGCCAAAAGAAACAAGAACAAAAGAAAAGAAGTGAACATACCCACTCCACTGGATTCATGCTGCATCTACTCCAGGCTGCATGCATTTTCCAAGGGGGCATCTCATCTCTTTGAACAGAGTTCTGTTCCGAACAGTGCAATCAAAGCCCTCATAAACGCACCCTCAAACTCTTGCAAGCTTCAGTTGAATGACCACACGACAGCATGGCCACCTCCAAACTCTATAATATAGGAGAAAAAAGGCAGTTCAGTCATATCATCACCTCTGGAGGGTTTGGGAAAGTGAGGACTTCCTTGGCAAATGAGCTTGCAAGAGTGTACCTTTAAGGATACACTTGAGTGTTTCAATGGATGATGCTTGTGGGCTCGAGCCGTTCCGGAGAGACATCCCACTACCCGAGGTTGCGGAGGTTCCACATGCGGATTTGATCTCGTCAACTGTGGGAAAGATCTCTCAAGGTTGAGGTTCCAAAAGATTATTTTTGCTTTTGACACCCATTCAGTCACTCAAACTTAGGGGGACCCCCTAAACCAATGAGTGAATTCACCCACTCATGCTACGACCAAGCCAATACTCCCATGGCCCCAGAAACAAGAAAGAAATTGTATATACCCTTTGAGGAGCACTTGGGGTCAAAACCCTAGGGCCCTAGGACCCTGATCACCTGAAAACGAAGACAATCCATCACCAGAAATGTCAACTCATCACGGTTTTGGGGATCCAGCTCTTGACCCACACCATCCCCATCACCATCCCCATCCCATCACCATCACACTCATCACTGTCTCATCACCATCTCTCCATCCTCCCATCCCTCCTCCCATCCATATCCGTACCATCCCAGCAGGCCTCCGAGTGACAGGCCTCTGCTGCTTCCTTGGCCTCCTTTTGCGCCTTTTCGGCCTGCTCGATCTCGTCCTCCACCGCCGCCACCTTGTCCGCAATTTTTCCCTGCCAACGAAGCAAGAGAAACAGTTTGAGCTGGAAGGGAAGAGATGATCTTTCTGTGGTCTGAAGGCCATAGGCGAAGAAGTTAATTCAAGGTTCAAGTTCAAGGTCGTGGCTTGTCATGGTTTTATTGCCTGCTGTGTAGAGCTTTCATGTCTTGCTGAAAAGGAGCTGGTTCTGTTCTTTGGTGCAGATGAGGCGATGATCTCACTACAAGTCCCACCAGTTGGTTTGATCCGTAGAATGATCACAAGGCTGTGAAGCCCCTGTCCTTTTCAGAGCTGGTGGGACGCAACTCATCAAGCAGTGCTTGGTGGCTGGGCCTGACCTGTATGATCCTTCATGGTTACACCCATACAAGGTGCTATCAAAGACGATGTCCTGGGGGACGCTGGGGGACAGAGAAAATCTTCCCAAATGATTTGCGGCCAAAACCTGGTCGAAAATCCATGTGCGGCGTCTCGTTGTAATCCCCACTGGTCACTAGCCATGGTGCTTTCATTTGCCTAACATCCACCCGTCGTCGACCCTCCAAGTCGCCGAGCTCGCCTCAACGATGACGGCGGCTTCGTGGCGGATGGTGTTTTCGAGGTACTCCTCAGGGTGGATGCACAGCTTTGCCATCCCCGAAGAAAAGTAAAGAAACATCAAACCTGGACCCGGCCCACTCTGGAAATCTAGGTTTTTCACTAGGGTGGTATATTGTGGGCCTAGATGGCCATAGACCAAGATTGACCAAAAGATACTGAACTCCATCAGTTGGAGGGTTCTCACCATTTCCATTGACCTGCACAAACTCATTGACTAGAGCCACGAAACGGGCGGGGTCCGGCAGGGGCAGTTCCAGTAAAACCTTCGCTGCGTGGCGCCAATCCATCTGCGTGCGCCCGCGCCGCGAGGGGACTGCACTCCTTCAAGGCCGCTTCGTGGGCCTGGCGGGTCTGGGTGACCTTCTCCATGCTCTCGTTCACAGCCTTCTGCTCTGACCTCAGGAACAAAGCAAAAAAGGAAAAGACGCCAGTTGGGCGGCACCAAGTTCTATGGGGGACTGCGGGAGTTTGGTTGACGAATCAACAACGAAATGATGTGTCTTTCCTCGTGGGACTGAGAACGGGTCATTCTAGCTTGTGGTACTGGCAGGGAGTATTCACAAGGGAGGTATGGACCCTTCGACCACCTTCGACCCTCGCCCAACAAGAAACGCTTGTCAGGGTGTTGAGCCGTCGTTATGCCCACGTCGTTCTTCGTGAACGTGGTTTCGTCATGTTTCGTCATCAACCTGGCTGCGGCCCCATGTTGGGTCAAACCTGGAGCCCCAACACCAGCTTGACCTCCCAGGTATATAGATCAACCAAGGTACAGTATCCCCTGGTTTTGATCCACAGCTACTTCAATCCTTCACAAATCTCAGGCCCTCCTGGGATGCTCAACCGGATGCTCTTTCTCAGCCAGTGATGCTCAGCGGCTTGCAAAGCTCCTTGCACGTCTGCCAGTCGGTGCCCTCAGATCCAGTCTGCAAGTCGGGCACTTCGGTCCAGGTGACGACACTTGGAACCACATCAACACGTTGCCAAGTGGGAAAAAAGAATACTTAAAAGTAAACAATAATATACTGTATATGTTTGTTGATCTTTAAACGTTGCATTGTTGCATATCATATGGGGGGACCGTGGTTTTGCTATGCCCATACCAATGCAGGGATGTTGGAAATGAACTGAAATGGCCCAAAATAGAAGAAACACACAAACCGCGAAAAAGCTGGAAAAGGATCAGAAAAGTCCCACAGTCTAAATTGCCTGAAGATTGGTCTTTCAGAAGCTCCTTTGGGGTACGTTGGCGTACGTCGGCGCCCAGAACGGCAGTCTCATGCAGTTCTTCCTTGGAACTTGGAACCGAATCATCGGTTGCCACATTGCCCTCTGCAAAATAAGACATTCCCTTGTATCCAGAACTGTGGGAAGTCAGGGAAGTCTATGAGCCCTTATTTCTTGGTGCTTCATCCACCATGGACGAAAATTCCATGCTGCATACAACTTTGTAGTGCCACCAATCACACACAACTTTGGACATACCCTTCCACAATTCCCCACAGTTCCATACCACCACACGACTTTGCTCCAAGCATCCAGAGTCTCCTGGTGTTCGCGCAGCTCCTTCATCACGGCCTCGGAGCGCTCTTGATCCTTGACGGCTTTCTTGCCGCATTGCTCGACCACCGTGGCCTCGCTGCACGGCGAGTGGTACGACCAAAAGAAGGCCGTACCGCCAGTTCATCACGGGATATATATTTTAGGGGAAGTGTACATCACCATCTCACCATCTCACCATTCTGGCCTGCTTTTTCTGGTCATAGATCTCCTTCAGCTTCAGTGGCTTGGGCCAAGAGCTGTCCTCCAGGCACTTTGGCACGACCTCCTTCATCCTCAGAAGCTTGGCCCAGGGTATGGTAAGCCACATCACTCCCATTCGAGACACCTGCACATCACTCCCACATTGACATGAGTCGACCACTTTCAGCAACCCCAATCCCAAGTCGCCAAAAAACCATTGGGCCCGTGGGTGGGGAGCCCCGCTATTTTCGACCATGGGCGGAATTGCAAAGGGTTCAAGGAAAAAGGATAGAAAAGGTGAAGCCACTTTTGGGACATACAAGTCAGAATGGTTCCTTGAGGTAGGGGGCACTCGGGGGCTCAGCCCAGTCTGATCCGTTTCAAAAAGACTGGGCTATATAATCCGTTACAGACCCGGGACCTTCCAAGGCATCGTCGTAGGGTAGTCCGTTGGCACCAACGGAGAGCGAACGGAACAGAACCAAGGCACACCACTGCTCGCTGCCGGATGCGCTTCGATTGTTCATCTTCGATGGCCTCATTCTGTTTCTCCTCGGACATCTTGGACCTTGGATCTTCTAAGGGGAAGGGAAGAAGCAGGAACTAAAATTCCCTACAAGTTTCCTTCTTGATTCAGGACCTCTACACTAGTTGAAAAGACCCATGCATTCCTCCAAAGGAACGCTGCCGAATATGTACCAGAAAATTGCAATCCCAAGGGGCCACTCGTCTGTGTCCACAGCTTCTGAGGTTTTCTTGATAGAGTCCTGAGCGAAGCGAACTCCCAACGAAACCAAACACACTGAAACGGATTCAGTCAGAGTTGGATCCCGTAGTACTCACCAAATAGAGAACATGTCTGGAGTTTGAGGCCGACCGGTGAGTACTCACATGCTATGATGGATATCGACCGGTGAGCAAAGGGCACCAATAAGTCGGAGAACGGTCTGAACGCTCGCCACCATCTCGAGCAACTGGTCCACGAACAAGTGACGGTGACCCAAGTCATAGGCATTTTGTAGATACAAATACGGCCCTGCAATCGACCACATAGAATTCACGGAAAGTGAAAACAATGGAGAGCCAGAGTGGATCCTGTAGCGATTCTATAAATTCTCATGTCTGTATTGACCATTTTTCTCTGATCCACCGTGCAGGTGATCAAAGTACCCCTGCCCTTCCACACCTGGGGTTGTGAACTACACTGCAATCCTTCCAGGTCTTTCTATTTCACCCATGGCCATATCTGCAGCTGAGATGTCAGTCTCTCTTTTCATGCTCTCGCCGGCCACCAGGCGCGCGTCGAGCGTGTCCTTAGTGGTCTGCTTCTGCTTCTGCTTCTTCTTCTTCTTCTTCTTCTTCTTCTTCTTCTGCTTCTGCTTCTTCTTCTTCCCCATGCCATCTAATGGCTCCAGCCGCCCTAAATCGCATTGAGCATTCCCCATGAAAGGCTAGTGTACACTGTTGATGAGCCAAAATCTCCCCTAATGTGTGTAAAACCTCTTCAGGCCTTGGGGGGAGGCTTCAAGGTTTTCATAAATCAAGAGTCTAACATGATAGAAACAATAAGCTACTAGTAACAAGTGCATCGCTTCTAGTAACAAGTGCCTTACTAGTAGTAACAAGAAGCTACTAGAAACAATAGTTCAAATCGTCGCCCCTCGCCAGGTCTCGGTCGCCACCTTGGCTCCGTCCACCTTCTTCGCGGCCTCCAAGAGCGCTTGGAGCTCCGCGCTCGTGGTGCCATGCGTCCGGCGCACGAGCTCCTGCCGGCGGCTCGCGTGGTTTGCACGAGACACACAGGCTGATAAATGGAAATGGCAGAAGAGCAGGCTGGAAGAGATGGAGACTCTGTCAATCTACAGCATATGATTCTCTATATATATATATATATGTATTTCTCCTCAGGTGCTGCCACATCGACACTACTACAGGACCATCAAGCCCAGGAGTCCATGTTCACCATGGTGATCATGGTCGTTGTTGGGAGGGTAGTTGTTTTCGAGGCTTGTGCCTTGTTCGGAGGGAATGATCCAAAGCTTTAAACCGAGTCAAACAAAGGCCTTTTTATGGCGCGATCTCTTCTCTCGCACACCCTCCGAATGTTCTTGGATCTATTCAAGGAAACCAGCACGAACTGATCCAGTCATGGAAATAGGCCATTTAGAGGTTGTACCGAAAATATATCCAGAATCAAGAAAACTCCTCCCAAACTTATCCCCGGTAATAAATGACCTGCAGCAGTGCAGTCCAAAAACCTCTGCACTACTGTCTTTGTCAGTGTCATTGCATCAGCAAAGCTCCTGTTGAGAATGTCAATGCTCTATGGCTGACTCCCTCAATCCCCACGTCAAGACCAACTAAACCGGAGCATCGCCCCAGCCGGCCGGCCCCAGATCCCCGCTCCAGGCGCTCGCGGTTGGCCGACGCCAAAGCCTTGAGCTCCTGGGGACGGCGGACGTTCACCGCTTCAGCGGTTTGGGACGCTTCAATCAGATGCCGACTGGCACCGGTGAGCGCCGTGAGTCAAGATGAGGCTGGGCAGGAGATCTTGCATTGCATACTATACCCCATTCATAGTGATGTGTGTCTAGAGTGTCAAGGATTGTCCACTGGATGCTGAAAAACGCTTTCTGGCACAAACCAAAAGAGCTGCGTCAACGGCTTGAGCGCACACAAACATGGCGGGAATGGGCACTGACCCTTTTTTGGATGTTGGTTTCTCTTCAAAAGCCAAGAACTTCTGTGGCCTCATTTTTGCGTGAGCATGAAAAAATCTATACAACCCTCTAAAAGTGGATTTGAAGAAACACATTGTGGCTTTGGATCTAAGCATCCTCAAACGGACAAAAACTGCTTTTTCTTGAGCCAAAGCACCAAGTTGGTATGTTTTCATGGGAGGGCACGTAGCCACACTCCCCCTAATGGCGTTGCCATTACACATGTCGGTGATCCTAGGGCAGGTTTTTTCTTCCACCCTGGGACACCAGCTCAAAACTATCATCCGACTCAGTTTCGGGTTCACCTTCATGTCCGGGTGGAAGTAGTGTAGGCGTTTCGATGCCCATCCACACCGGTAGCTGATCAGCTTCAGGAGGTAGGTGGTCGTCAGACCCTTGTGCTTGATCTCTTGCCTCCTGACCCGGGTCCAGGTCAATTTCGCCCCGTCGGCCGCACCCAAACAGACGAAGTTCATAGCCCGTCATCTTGCCACCCTCGATGGACTCAGTGTCACATGCACTGACTCCCGCCCCATCATAGGTGATGCCGCCCTCGACTGTCAGGTGATCCTTTTGCTCCAAGGCCTTCTGACCTCGTTGCTTCGCCCTTGAACTCACTGGATTTGATCCCCGATAGCCCTGAGTCGGAGCAACCGACCCTGCAGGAGGAAGCGGACCAGGCTGAAAATCATGCCGGCCCTGTGCGCCGATGCCCCCTTCTTGCACTGCTCCAAACTTCACATAGAAGAAAGCATATCCACACCATTCGTAGTGTCCCTCCAAGTCCGAATTTCGATTCTCTATCCAATCGTCCGTCACTACGGTTCTCTTCCACACCTCTCGGGGGTTGCCCCGAGAAAAGGCCACAGTGACTCGCGTTGCTGAGAGTCTCCCTATGGACATAGGTGTGCCACGATGAAGTGGATGGAAGGATCTGACTCTAGACTTTTTCAAAACTCTGACCCACCACTCTCCCCCTCCCAATCCCACTCCAAGGCACTCCCACCTGTCGTTCCCCGTTGGTGGGGTCTGGAATCTATTCAGCTCCCACGGCAGGTCGGTGCCCAGGCCCACATGGGTGATCGGCAATCTCAAGGCGCTCAGCTTGGGAGGCGGCTGCATCCATGGCTTCAATTCGCGCTCGCGCTCGCGTCCGCGGGAGCCCCAAGGGCTACAGTCGCGTCCCGGTTGGGAGACAGGTTCATCTTCCCTTGTCTCATCTTGTTCTTTTCTTGTTTCGACATCGCTCCTTCTGGATGCCTGTGTCCGAGCTGATGCCGTGTCCCCAAATCTTGACAGGTCTTCTCCTCCTCTCCTACCCATCAAAATCGCTACACTTGACAACACTTGGCCACCTTGGCCTGCTGTTGAAGCGGCTGCCAACTAGCTATGCCTATCAACCCACTCAGAAGTCCGATGAGCTTCTTCACACCGAGGCCATTCCACTCAGGCTCCGGCACGTCTGCTCGCGACATCAGCCCAGTGAACTCTCGAAAGCGGGTCCGCCAAAGTGGATCATGCTCATCAGAGTCGTCGAGGCTCCCAGGCAGTGGACTTGCTGCATACTTCAAATCTGAATACCTGGCCAAGAGATCTTTGAGGTAGGCATTCTGGTGGAGACGGATTCCTTGAGGTTCCTACAAAATCTCAAGCTATGATCCTGACTCAACCATTCAGGAGAAGAGCATTAATTTCCACTGTTCCTGAAATCGTCGAACTGTGGCTTGAGTCACAGTGTCCTCTGCTGTGATCAAAATGTCGTCCGGCATAGACCTTGTCTGGCATGTTGACCTCCTCCACCGCATCCAGGACCACTTTCCATAAGTTTGGCTCCTGAGTTCTTGCCAGGCGCCACCCCACACCCTTGTCTGTCCACCTGAATTGGGCCATCTCCTCATCCCGAAAGATCGCCCAGTTGATTGGAGCTTCTTGAAGGCCGTAGAGGGAGTTTTTTACCTCCCAAATTTCCCCTTGCTTGCACACTCCAGCCTCGATCAGGACCTTTGGAGGTTGAGTGATCAGCAGCCTTTGAGATGCATCTCGACGTGGAGCCAACAAAAACGCCGTCTTCACGTCCAGGCTCACGGTCGTCCACTTCTCCAATGCACTCTTCCTGAGGAGAGCTCGGAGCACAGTGGCATCTGCTCCCCCTGCATATAGCTCGAGGGGTGAACTTGAATCAGCGGGCTGACGGCCTTGGTTTCCGCTTGAGATCGAACCAAATGGTTTCCGCAGATGGCCACCCGAGCACGGTGACGTCCATGAGGGCTCTTGACCGCGGTTACAAGCATCGCTGGTGCTTCTTCTCGATTTGGATATCGTGGATCCAGCTTTAAGGCTTCCTCAGTTGTCGGTAAGATGGCCCGAGTTGTTTGAGACAGCGAGGAATACTCATCCTTGAATGGCTCAACCCACTGATGCAGCTCCCTTCGCACCTGCGCCAAAGGGACCGTGTAGGTCTGTAGCACCAGTGGTGGTTTCTCATCCTGCTGCTGGGTTTGCAGAGCTGCGAGCCTCCACCTCTCCAATGCCGTGCGCTGCCTTGTCAAACACTCCTCCTGAACCCTCAACTTCTCCTCCAGCTCCTGAAGCCATTGGCCATGCTCTCTTCCCTGCTCGGGCCCCAATGGTGTCGAGTTCAACTGCTCCAACCACATCTTCTTAAGAACCCAGTGGCCTTGTACATCATCTTCATACCACTGGTGGGCTTGGGCCCAGGAACACAACTCCACATCACATGCCTCCTCCCCCGAACCTGTGACTCGTCGTGTTCAGCTCCCCATCCCATCTCCTTGCCACCACAAAAATCACAGTGATCTCGTTGATGTCGATCACCAACTTCTTCTCCCTGACCTCCTCGTCGTTGCTGGAGAAAGCCACAATCTGGACATTCTTTCATTTCCTGGCTTGAAGCTTCTTCCACAGGGTTTGGATCGGGCCGCAAAAACTGTCAAGATCCCCCCCCTGTCCTGAATTGCGTGAGAGCCGCCAGGACAGGTCTTGCAGCTCCTTCCACTGGTTCATATAGCCTGGGGGTCACATCCTCCAATGGATGAGGGTCCAGACTCTGTTTTCCTGTTCTGCGATGCCGAACTTCTTCCGCATCAATTGCTTCCAACTCCAAGATGGCTTGATCAGCTTCTGGAACTGGTTGAATCGCAGCTCTGACATGCTGAACTCTGTCCCCCCTTCTCACAACCCAGCCATTGGTCATCAGAGGGCTAGGGCCAACCAGCTGCATCGACACAAATGGGTTTGCCACCTGTCCCGCCTTGTGCCATCGCTTTGATCGAACTGCCACCAGCGCACCAAAGCGGTGCATGGGTTGAACTGCAACTCCCAAGTGTCGAAGCTGTTGACGACATCGTTCTTCCGCTGCATGCCGGATAGCTCCCGGCCACAAAGCTGGTTCCACCTTGGACTGATGGAGAATGAGTCTGAGTCGACGTTTGACCTGTTGCACTTCAGCCTCAGCGCGACCGTTGCTCTGGGGGTCGTCTCCTTGAGTGAATGTGTGAATCATACGCCTGTGTCCACACCATGTAGCTACCCTTTTTGATAGCAGCCCTTTTTCTCTGTCACTATGCAATCTCACCAGATTGACACCCAGACAGCGAAAGCGCGCATGTAGTCGAGATAGTCCAGCCAACTTCTATCCTCCAGGATCTCAACCATCGTGATGTTCTGGAGCTTGTGAGGCTTCATCAGTTCTTGGACAGCCTGATGATCAACTCGATCCATAAGCTCTTCCTCTTCCGCCGCTGCCTCCTCCAGGACTTTTTCTTCTTCCTGCGGGACTTGATCATCAGCTTCTTCTTCCTCAAAGCCTCCCACATGGTCACCTTCCTCGATGTCGAGCTCCTCCAAGTTCTCCACCTCAGGTGCCCCCGGAAGTTGATCTGGGATTGGAATAGGCACAGTACCCAACAATGCATACTTAGCCATCCTTCCAGTCGCTAAATCCTTGCCGTAGGTGAACGGACCCATGATGTCAATCGCCAGGGTGAAGGCTGCTGATGCTGTCTTTGATCTTCGATGAGGGTGTTGCATCCCCATCGCTTCGATGCAAGCACGGCAGCCGCGCCTGAATGGCACATGCTGCATCCTGACATGTCTGCGCCATTCATCCAGGTTGAATTTTGCCACCTGAACTGTATCTTCCTCACCACAGCTAGATCTTGCCTCGCTGCAGCCATCCTGAATGAAACCTGAGCTCCTCCTTGTCGACCCAAGGCTTCAGTGACTCGATTCAGCACCTGCACCAGTACCAGGGGATCCGGGGTTGCAAGACCCAACTCCCGAGCACGTTGAATCCAGCGCCTCCATTGGCGACTCCCTGACAGGACGTCCGCCACCCCATGACCCACCTTCAGGTCGGTGATGCTCTTCAAAAGTGCTGTTCGTTCGGCCGACCCCCCTGGTTGGAAGATGGTGTACAGCCGAAAAAGAATTCCCAAACAACTGACCTTCCTGGAGGCAATGACATCCTTTCTGACTTGGTCTGGAAGAACCCCCAGCAAAATAGTCACTCCACGATGTTCCACCCTCTCAAAGCTCGGATCCACGGGGCGCTCAACCTTGAAACACTACCGGCAAGATGTCCAAGATCGTGGGGATGTAAAAGAGGAGCTAATAGGCCCTGGTTTTGGGGGTTGCCACCAAATGCCCGCTGCAACACTTCCAGCGATTGTCGAACTGAGTCCAGCAGACCCGGCACCGATTCACTCGACACCTGCCCTGCCCCATTCTCCTGGCTCGTGGCACGACCTTCCGGCTCCCTGCTCGTCCTTCTCGCTGAGGAACTTGCCATCGCCTGGGTCGCCTGGCCTGGAGCAGCTGCCAACCTTCGAACCGCAGCTGTGGTTGCCGGCACCGATGCAGCCCTTCCTTCACGGTCTTCTTCGAGCAGCCTGTCCAGCCGCTCTTCCGCTGCGCCGACCCGCAGCACCCCCGGTCTGTCACCGGGGTCCACCATCCGCTCTGCCTCTCGTGAGCGGCGGCGCCTCGCTTGGAATGCCATGGAGACCAGCAACTTCCAAATGGAAGGTGGACTTCCTGGCTACCTGTTTGGGCTCATAACCTAAGCATCCTCAAACGGACAAAAGCTGCTTTTTCTTGAGCCAAAGCACCAAGTTGGTATGTTTTCATGGGAGGGCACGTAGCCACAGGATCGAATCTACTGTAAATATCTGTAAATAACTATGTCTAATACTGGCTCAGCCTGAACTCGGACTGAATCTTTTCGCGCCTTCTCAGCCTCTGGGCACTCGGAGGGGTACAACTTCATCAGGTCGTCCAACAAGGGGAGCAACTCGCAAAGCGCCTGGGTACGGCTGCGAATCACTGCGACCACCCTTCAACAGAGCCGACTGAACAGAGGCCTCAGGCTTCAAAGACACCATCACCATCACTCCAGTCCAAGTGATTCAAATCCAATGCAAAGTCCCGGGCGCCTCCGACCCATTTTTGCAAACCTGTTCTTGAAGAAACATGGTGAGTGATGGTGATGGGCCAACGCCGGTGAGTTCAGTGTTTTCGGAGGGAACCTTCTACTTTCCACCTCTCACCATGTTCATTCTATACAGACTATAACATACCATTACGGCACACAGTGACCCTCCAAGAGGTGCAGGTCAAACCTTCTGTCCCCCAAACCAGACCCGTCAGGAAAACACAAAGCAAAACTCCTGCTGTTCTTAGCCCCCCCCAGCTAATCAACTCTTTTGCCCCTAAAGACATAGCAGCAGCCTCAACCAGAGGTGTTGCGGCTTGAATATAGATGAGTTGTCTTTTGGTCTCTGGTCAAAGTGTACACTCCTTTCGTTTGTCCTTCGTCCCTCATCTCTCCACACACACCACAGCCTGAAGATCTTCATCGTCGGTGGCCTTTGCTATCCTCAGTGGGGCACCCACCCAATAAAGCCCGCGGAGTGGGGCGTGCGAATGGCGAAGGGCCACCGACTCGTGATAGGCCCCAAGGAGTAGATCTGCAAACAATATCGGGGGGTGGTCGCGTGGAAGAAGCCACTCAGCCACTCGCAACATGTGGTACCAAAGGAACTCTTGACGTGGAGAAAGTCACCTCTTGTCAGGAAGTGGCCACAAGCAGAAAAACTGTCAAGTGTCACGTCTAACTATGTGTCTTTGCACCGATCTTGAAAGCCAGCTCCTTTCACCACCAGAAAATCGGATCTGTTCTTGGTGAAGAATCCCTGCCAGCAATAAATGCTGTTCCCAGGTTCCTATAGAGGTGAGCTGGCCAACGTGACCTTGATATGTTGAGATACGACTTTCATTGATTCTCTGCTTCAAAAAAAAAAAATATATATATATATAACTCCTTCCGATCCAGTGATCAGTGGGCCAACTCTAGTGCCAAACCCTGTGTTTACCAAGCATGTACCATAACTACCCCAGCCTTACAAACCTACAATGTACAAAGATCGGACACCCCAAACTTCTTGGACCTGTGCATCCTGTGGCGATGGCCGTGGGTCGTTTGCTCGGTCCGAGACCAGCTCAACACGTCGGATGCGGCACCATCCGCCCTCCCTGCACCAGCTCCACCTTCCCTTCCCTTCCAAACGTCTTCTGGATGAGGTTAATCAACTGGGTGTGCGATTCGGACAAGGTCGTGAGCAGCTGGTTAAGGTCCTCCTGCTCCTGGCGAGCACATCGTCTTTTTGAGGTGCAGGAGTCTGCAGGAGTGGGTCCAGTCGCCGGATGTCGAAGAAGGCTGACGTGGGGTGGAGCCGAAGAACCTAAGAAAATGTGCATGGCGTTGATCCGAAAATGGGCACAGCACCAAAGTTCAGTCACATGGAGAGGCTAGCAAACCTCGACTTCCATCTCAGACAGTGGAAGCTCATCATGTTTGCAATCATTCTGGGCCGGCAAGTAGACGTGGTTTCGCTTGGTGATTTTGCCTGTCCGTCCTACCCCGGGTGGGCTCCAGTTCATCGTGTCCAGAAATCATTCATATCATGAACCAAAACACCCTCTCTATATATATATATCATATATCCTCACTGCGTATGTTGCATCTCCATCTCACCCAAGCTGGTTTACAGTAGCCGGAGGTTCTCCTCATATCGCTACCCGGCAGAGTTTCCCCTTGGTGAGTCCCTCAACCCAGACCCCGGCATGGTGACCTCTTCACCACTCCACTCTCATGTTCACTCGGGTCTGACCGAAACCCACTCGCAGCCGCCTTGGTCTTCATCACCAGCTCCTCATGATCCACTGGTTGTGGCAAACGAAACAGTCGGAGTGCCAGGCGACTGGTAGAGAGGCTGGGCAGAATCCCGGTCTGTTGATACCCTGAAAAGAGGTGCGGCGCTGGCGAAAAGCATCTCTAATGGCCAGCCCACACAGCGAGCCCCCTCCAAATAGATGTCCTGGAGTCCTGTCTGTCAACTCTCTACACTGCGAAACGGTCATAAATGTGCGCAAATGGTTTGGGATGGACAAGGAGGACAAAGCCAAAAGTCCAGAGCCAACTGTAATGAACCCGACATCATATTCCCACAAATGTAGTAGGTTGGAGGTCATTGCATGGTCCTTTTGTCTCCATCCGGCTCAAGAGGCCGAATCTCTTCGCATGGATTTCTCTAGGACTCTAGGGCCAGGATACGGATGCTTAGCTTGGCCGTTTGTGTTTTGGCAAACATTAAAAGTCAAGCCAAAGACGGGACCCAATGCCAGTAAAAGGTCGGCTGGTGAGATGTGGGTTGACAGGAAACCTGGAACACCAGAAAATCCGCCGGCCTGCCGGCGTGTTTTGTGGATTGTTTTGGTTAGTATTGCTTGTGTTGGTTTCAACCTACGGTTTGTCTCTCCGCGCGGATTTTTCGACGGCCTGACGCCCCCCCCCTTGAAAAGTAGAGCCTACCTGTACAGGGTTCCACTCCAACAGCCGATATAGTGTGTCCATACTTGACTGCTTCAAGGCTCAAAGAGCAAGAGGATAAGACTCTGCGCATAAAAGACACTAGCGGTCTGCACCTCTACCGTGTACGCCCTAGTCACTCTTTCAGTGGTAGCGGAGCAGTGATCCTGGAAGACCCAGGTGAGCTCCTTTCCTAGGCATAGACTTGCTAGTGGGCAAACAGCCATGGATTGGATAGACGACTGGGAAGAGCCTGATGCGGATGTGGCTTATGAGCCAGCAGCCTACGTGAATAGGCATGTGAGAAGAGAACCAGCAGCAATAGCAATGACAACACAGGTCACTACAAAGGTGCCCCCATCTTATGATGGAAAGACTTCATGGTTTTCCTATGAGGATGCCATAGACGATTGGTGTGATATCACCGAGCTGGAAGATGAGAAGAGAGGACCAGCATTGAGAAACAGATTAGAAGGAGAAGCAGCTGTATACAAGCGTGTTTTAGACAGAGATGCATTGAAGGCAAATGATCCACCAGGAGCCGGCGTAGAATATTTCAAACGAGTACTACGACCATATTTCGTGAAAGGATCAACCAATGTATTCCTGTATAGATTTATGCAATTTGTGCGCTTCAATCGAGGATCAGCTGACATGATGAAATGGATGACAAGATTCCAGATTTTACTCCAAAGGCTTATGAGCAGTTGGATGGACATGTTAGAACCAGTCACTCAAGCACATCCACAGGTCCTAGCTCAGATGCAGGCAGATGCAGCGTTGACTGGAGTAGCACCAACGGCAGAAAGGATTCAGGAAATCATGCAGACCATCAATGGCAATATGAGGACTTTTCATCAGAACGAATTTCCTCTAGGAGAAAATCTCATTGCCTTACTCATGCTGTCACTTGCAGATTTATCTCAGGACCAGCGAAACACTTTGACTTCTTTGATGACTCATCGTGGCAGGGTCCTGCAGCAATACACTACAACAGAGTTGAGGACAGTGTTCATCGAGATGTTCTGCACAACAAAGACTTCAGTAGACAATCCTTTGATGCAGCCGACAGGTGCTGGAGGTAGAAGATCATTTCTCGTACTAGACGAAGGAGAACTCGATGGTACATTTGGCTATTGGGCCGAAGATGAAGAAGATGGAACAGAAGGATTTTTAGATGCCCTGGGCGATGTCTTTTGGGTATATGATGATCAAAACTTCTCGTGGTTCCAAAGGAGATTCCAAGGAAGAAGAGCCAGAAAAGGCAAAGGAAAAGGTAGAAGAAAAGGAAAAGGTAAAGGAAGATCAGGCCGCAGATTCTTCAGACCTCGTGGAAAAGGAAAAGGAAAGAGACGAGGTAAAGGCCATTTTGCTGATGAGCAACAGACAACCTTTCCAGATGAATACTTTGAAGAGAATCCTTATGAGGACACTTGGGAGTCAAACCAAGTAGCATATGATGCCATTCTTGCCGAAGATATGAATGACTATCTTCAAGGAGAATATGAAGATGCCAATGACTTTTGGCAACAGCTTGAAGAAGCATGGTTTTCCCACAAAGGAAAAGGAAAAGGCAAGAGAAAAGGCAAGAAAGGAAAAGGAAAAGATAAAGGAGATGGCAAACAAGATGCAAATTATGCAAATCAACAACAGCCACGTTCTTTGCCTGCACCTTCAAGATCTTCACAAGCATCAGGAGGTCAACAAGGTTTCTTTGCACATTGTGTGACAGCAGCAGCTGAAGTCCATGACAGTGAGGTGATCTTGCTGTCAGGCATGATGACCTCATGCCAAGATGAAGCTGACTGCGCGGTCAACAATGGTGAGACGATCTTCGATGGCATGAGTGCCCCTGTGAGGTACTCTTTGTCAAAGGAGATGCTCACAAAGGCTCCTGATGGCTTTGCGCTTATGAGCGCTGAGGAAGAAGTGAAGGAGATGCAGGCCATTTCATTTTTGACTGAGAATCGCTTCCCGCCGACTATTGCAATCCTGGACATTGGATGCACTAGAGCTATGGGATCAAGGCGAGCAGTCGACCATTTTTGCAACTATGTCGACAATCACCCAGATTGTGGATTATGGTACTCTTTTGAGGCTACCAAGAGCAAGTTTTACTTTGCCAATTCACAGAAGGCTACTTGCTCTCAGAAACTGGTGATTTACATGTATGATCGTGCATGGACGATCCAACATACAGAGTTCGACATAGTGGAAGAAGGAGAAGTCCCTTTGCTTATGAGCTTGCCACAGATGAGGAACTTAGGCTTTGAACTCAGGCTGACACCTCAACATGCTTATCTGACATCGGTGCCTCTTGGTATCAAATATTTGGAGTTGAAGGTTGCAGCCAGTACTCATCTTGTTTTGGACTTCCAAGATATTGCATGGTATCTGTCTGACGTGAATTTGCAGACTCGGCGCGAGAAGAGTTTTTACTCTCACTTCACTCACTATGAATATGGTCATATTTCTGTTGACCACAATAGTGATGAAGATGTAGCTGAACATGCATATCCTGTGGTTGACTACTGGGAAGTAGATGTTCACAAGAGAGAACTGATACGTCACCACAAGGATTATAGAAAGATTCTTTTTCCAGCAACTAAGTCCTGTCCTGTAGACACTGACTTACTGGAAGACTTGCGACTGACAATCATCAAGAAGAAGAAAGGAGGAGAAGAGATCAAGAAGCAAGATGATTGGCGCAAGGCAAAATGGAAGGACCCACAAATTGGCTATGAATGGCGTGGTAGAACAATTTTTAAGTTCAAACCAGATGCCAAAATTCCAGATCTAAAGATCAGGAAGGCTGGCATTGAGCACCGTGGCATTGGTGATCCCGATGCAGTGGTGCGCTCCTCCTCAGAGAAGGTTCCCATTGCAAAGGACAGGGAACCAGGCTTCTCTTCAGAGAAGGAAGGTGCACCATCCAGTGCCGCGGAAAAGCCCGTGCCGCCAAAGTTTCGGTATACTTCCAAGGGTTTTGATCCATTTTGGAAAGGACACAAGTCGAAAACATCTGAGCCTCAGAATGATTTAAAGGGTGATGATCTTGAGGAGTATGCTCCCTCAGAACCACCTGAGAGGCCAGAAGGTGAACTTGTAGAAATTCCTAAAGCATCAAAAGGACAATCAAGCGATAAACATGAACCACTTGAACCAGGTGATGGCGCTCTTGAGCCTAGGCGGATTTCAATCCCATTACCTGGTAGTGAAGTTGTTGCAATGACACCGGCATATAGGAAGATGTTACAGAGACTGGAGGACAAGGTAGAGCTTTATAAGCTTCATGTGAAGCACTACCATATGAGTCCTACTCAGTTTCGTAGACGTGTTTCTATGTTGAAGCTTCCTGACTCTGTTTTAGAGAAGTATGAATCAGTTGTCAGGAACTGCCGTGTTTGTAACACTTCAGTGGCACCTCCGCCACGAGCCAGAGTCTCCGGTATTAGAGCTTCATGTTTTGGTGATGTTGTTTTTGCTGATCATTGTGAGGTTGAACTTCACAAGAACAAGTATATCATTTTACTTGTTCTTGATGGTGCCACAAATCTTCTCTGGGCTACGGCACAGAAAGACCTCATAGATCAAACCACCATCCAAGCATTGAGGCAGTGGTCGGATGAGAACAACTGTGTTCCGAAGGCCATCGTAGGAGACGAAGCTTTTTTCACAGATGCTTTTGTTGAATACTACAGGTTTCATGGTATACAACAATGTCCTTGTGGACCCAGAACTCCTTGGCCAAACCGAGCAGAGACAGCTGTACGTTTGTTCAAACGTATGTGGCATGTTATGAAGGTAGATCTGGATGATCCACGTTTTCGTGGTGTTACGGTCAGAGAAGTGGTCAAGAAGGTAGTTTGGGCAAGAAATTGTCAGTTGACTATCAGTGGATATTCACCAATAGAGATAGCAACTGGAAGACGTCCACCAGATCTTTTTGACCTTGAGACCGCAAGCCCTGAGCAATTGTCAGCTAATGCCGCCGCACAAGATCGTACAAATTTGGAACTACAACGTGTGGCTTTGAGAGCTCATCAAGAAGCACGACAAGCTCAGGACCTTCGAGCAGATCTTGCAAGAAGGACTATGCCAAGTGACGGTCCTTATTTCCAAGGAGAGAAGGTTTTTATTTGGACTCAGGATTCATCAAAGTTCAGGGATAAAGGACGTTGGGTTCGTGCCACAGTACTTGGACAAGAAGGAGCTATGGTCCAAGCCAACACTGGTAAGGCAGTGGTACGTGTGAATCAGTCGAAGGTTAGACGTGATCACGATGAGTGGCATGATGTTTCCATACCGGCATTAGACGATGAGAATCCGGAGAACTTACGTGAAGATCACGAACTGTATGTTGATGCCGAATTTGGAGAACAGTCCTTTTTCTTCTGTAATGATGATCATCCTGATGTTGTTGAGTTACTTCATGGAAACAGTGGATTATCTTGGTTCCTTTCA